TTACGAGTAAATTAATATCTCGGGAACCACGGAGTCTAGGAGGCTGAAATTTTAGGGTAATGACCCTCTGCCAACGCTCAACCTTGCCCATTCAAAATCAGTCTTCCCGTACCCGCGGGTAATACGTACGGCCCCGTGAAAGTTTTTTACTGGTAAATTATTATCTCGGGAACCACTGGGTCGAGGAAGCTGAAATTTTAGGGTAATGATCCTCTGCCCACGCTCAACCTTGCCTATTCAAATTCAGCGTTCCCGCGCTCTTGAGTATCATCTACGGCCTCGTGAAAATTTTGGCGGGTAAACTATTAACTCGGGATAAAGATACTCACCCTTCAAGGTTTCGAATTCAGTTTCATGCGCTGGTGCGTGAAATTTTTAACTGTTTTTCAATGCTTGAACTATTTTTGCACAGACTAAAGTAGAAAGCAGTGAAAATCATTAATAAGCAATCGTTCGATGGGCTGAATTGCACAAAACGCATGATCGCACCGGCCAGTCTGGTGCGCGTTGCTATTTATTAGCCCTAATTTACTGGTTGGTTATTGCGCAAAGCGAATTGGAGGACCCCAACAACAAATATTACATCGTTCGATTTGTCCTATTTTCCTGGAAAAAAAAAAGTAAATTCCAGCAAAAAAAAAAACCAAAAATAACCTTTTTTCCTCAATTCTGGTTTGCCTTTTTTGACCGATGCAACGAACATATCGCCAACACCAGCACTCGGCAAACGATTCAGACGACCCTTGATCCCGTAGACAGCGATAACGAACAGATTCCGAGCCCCAGTATTATCGGCACAGTTGATCACCGCCCCCACGGGCAAACCAAGCGAGATACGGAATTTCGCTCCCGATGCTCCACCACGTCCACGCTTCGACATCTCCTCTTATAAGGGGTCTGCTGCTAAAGAAACAAAAAAAAAAGGCAATTCTTAGAAATTACAAATTTGGTGGGTAGGAAGCTGTACTGACGATTCCCACTTCTACCCGCATGCATTGTTCAGTCAGTGTTTACAGCTAAGGAGTGAAACGTAGACAGACTGCATCGTGAAATGTCTTCTTATACATGACACCTAATTCCAGTCTTCTTA